ACAGATCAGCTGGCACGGAACCGTTATTACGTGTCAGCTGTCGTTGATATTATAGCTTTTTAGCTGTCAACCAACTCCCTCTCAGAGGTGACCACGATTCACTCCACAGCATGTCCGAGTCAGGCAGTGGGCTCTTCCTATCGCTGTTTGAGTATACGCTGCACAAAGATGCAGAGTTGGCCTTGCTGTTTGATATATATTGTGCCGCAGGCCCGCAGCACATGACGGTTTTGTGTGTGCCCTCCCATGAAAATCATATGCCCTCCCTTTAGATTTGTTCTGGCGCCGGTATGTATATATTATACAATTTTGTTTTATAGAGAGGCGAAGTCCCGCCCTTCTTACTTCCGACCCATGGGACCTTATTTCGAAAAATTATGTATTGAAGTCAATGGGGAGAGGAAAACGTATCTTTCGATCCCGTTTGAATTGTGCCACGAATTACACATATGATGTTTGTCAATCTTAAAAATCATTTCCATGTCAAAAAAGTCACAGTTGTCGTTAAAAACTGTTGAAATATCAAGACTATGAAAATACGCAACTAGAAAGACTACAAATCCCAGAATCCCGGTCCCGCATGCTGGCTCTTACGAACCGACTAACTCCCCTTGTGTGTATGTACAGCTCTCAACATGCCCAGACTTGGAGTGATTTTCACCTCTTTTAATACTTTTTCACCTCATTCTGAAAGAAAGAAGTGAAATGTGCCAAGTGACGGCCGTCTTGGTGTTGTGGTGCGAGACGGGAGATGTAGTCATTGAGCGGTTTCACACAAAAAAAGTGTTACTTCACAGTTTTACAACACATTTTTTTTTTTTTTTACTTATCTTTTAAATTGACAAACATCATATGTGTAATTCGTGGCACAATTAAACGGAATTGAAAGATAATCTTTCTCTCTCCATTGACTTCAATACATACTTTTTCCGAAATAAGGTCCCATGGAGGTCCACCGGAAACGGAGGGTCTTCGCCTCTCTATAAGAAAACAACACATAGCTGACTCCACATCTACTTTCTACACTCTGATACAGCACCCCCTCCTGGGCAGAAAGGCTTCTTACAGCAATACATCCTGAAGATGTTCATAAAAATAGATGTAACTGATTATATGTTAATTTAATAACCCAAAAAAAGCTACTTTCATATTTACACACTAACAATAACAACCATACAGTATGCAGATGAGCTTCCTTCATATATCAATAACATTGTCTTTTTAATCTGGCAAGAGCATTGGATTATGTACATTTATACAAAAGATATTCAATATTCTGCAGGATTTTAACTGCGGAGACAATTTTTCCCAAAGGTATCAATGAATATCAGTAACACAGTGAGTGGATTTCTAGTTAAAGGGCCTCACAGAATAAAAAATACTTGGTTTTCAATGTGAAATCAATGTTTCGACATGAGCTGTAACTGTCACCGCTTCTTTTGTTGGTTTGTTGACTGGTAGCGTAGAGGCTACTGGGATCAGCGGAGGCTCCAGCAGAAGAAGAAGAAGGAGCTTTCACCGTGCTGTAGGTCACTAAATCATCTTCTTCATCATCTTCCTTACTCTGACCCTGGGAAACAAAAGGGAACAGCAACACTCATTAATGGCACAACATGATGTGACACGGCATAATTCAAGGTGAAAGAAGACAGTGCTAAGAAACCTGACATTAAACACAAAATAAATAAATCACAAAACAACAAAACCTACAAAACACAACATAATGAAAAAAGGTTGATCTCCTGATTTTCCCAGTAGCGCCTTCAGGAGTTTTGCCATTTGTGTGTTTTTTACAACAGTTATTAAATGTATTTCCGAAATCCATAACATGCGGCTCTCAGGATGAAATGGGCCCTTTAGCTTTTTTAATCAGAGCCATCTGCTGGTCAAAATATAGATTTCAATACTGCCAATGCCCATCAGCAAGTCTGTGCTTTTGTGTTTATTTTATTGTACCTTTATTTAACCAGGATAGGTCTCATTGAGATAACAAATCTATTTTTCAAGAGAGTCCTGGCCCAAGAATGGTTTACAGCACAGTTACAGACCATTTTAAAAAACACAATCACAACACAGTCATACACCAAGTTTAGCCAAAGCATTTACAGACACAGCTTCCTGCTTCAAGGTCAGTTAGAGTAGCTTCTAGTGTGTTTACTGAGACCAGCTCTCTGAGTCTCAGCTCAGTTTGAAGCTGGCTCCATGCTTCAGGAGCAGCGTAACTAAACGCCCTCTTCCCCAGTTCAGTACGGACTTTTGGTTCAGTTAATGCTAGTTAGCAAATGTTAGCATGCTGAGATGCTGATCTAAGATAGGGATCATGGCAAAGATTACACCCGCTTATCAGTAGCTAGTTAACATAGTCATAAAGTGTTATGGAATGAGTCAGCATTTTAGCACTTCCTAGGTTTGCTTGTTCCTTTTTAGTGTGTGTGTGTGTGTGTGTGTATGTGTGTGTGGTGTGGTGTGTGTGTGTGTGTGTGTGTGTGTGTGTGTGTGTGTGTGTGTGTGAGTGAGTGTGGTGTGTGTGTGTGTCTATGTGTGTGTGGTGTGTGTTGTGTGTGTGTGTGGGGTGTGTGTGGTGTGTGTGGTGTGTGTGTGTGTGTGGTGTGTGTGTGTGTGGTGAGTGTGTGTGTGTGTCTATGTGTGTGTGTGTGTGTGTTGTGTGTTGGTGTGTGTGTTGCGTGTTGTGTGTGTTGTTTTGTGTGTGTGTGTGTGGTGTGTGTGTGTGTGTGTCGTGTGTGGTGTGTGTGTGTGTGTGTGTGTGTGTTGTGTGTGTGTGTTGTGTGTGTGTGTGTCGAACATTAGCTCCTTAAACTAAGCGTTGGTGACGTGAAATCATGTGACCTTGGTGCAGTTAGTTAGGGGATTGATGCATTTACGCCACTCCTATAAAAGTGGAGTCAATATGGCAGTATTCTATGGGCTCAGAACAGTCTCATAATACACACATGCACACAGAAGGATTCACACTTGTATTTCATGATCCGCAAAAGGATTCACACTTGTATTTCCGGATCCACACTTGTGTTTTTCAATGCACACACAAATGTGTTCCGTTTCATATACATGTAAATAAAATCCAAATACAGAAAAAAGTTTTACATATGTATTTTTGATCCTCACATATTTGTTTTCCGTTTAAATCCCTGAACCTGCCAAACACAACCCGCTTTCTGTGCATGGATCGCTGTGCATTCGTGTGTGGGTTTTTTGAGACTCCCCTGACGGTCACCCGATTCGTACTTGTAATTTTTTCTATCTATAGCCAATCAGATGTCTCCTCAATTCTAAGCCAATCACATGAGCGCGCCCCCACGAGGGTAGATTTCTTGCGTTCATGTCACTTCATATACGCATTTTGCGTAGTCCGGAGCGAGCAGGGTTTCCGCGGACAGAATTTAATTTTACCGGACAAATTTGAAACTTACCGGTCATGTTTCAATAATAATAATAATAAGGAATTGTGTAGCAGCGTTTCCGTTAGGTAATTACCGGGACTATGACCGGATAATAACACGGGAGTAAGGATCATCTCTTTTCCTCTCTCCCTCCCTCTCTCCTGCAGCCCGTCAGTTTCTCATGCAGCTCGCTAAAACTTCACTCGCGTTTATGTCCATATCGATCAGATCCAGCTCTCCCTGATTGGCCTTTATAGAGAGCACCGATCAAACCTATTAAGAGTGAATATCGGCCGATAATGACGGCGGGCTCCCCCCCGTTGACAGTTTCACTGTCTAGCACTGGCCTTCGTAGTGCACTGATCGATTAGGCTAAGCTACCTGTAGCTGCTCCCTCCCACATCACAAACAACTTCATACAGACATAAATAAAGCAGCTGTATTCGCCATACAGGAAACACACATTTAAAACAGTTTTTGCCTGCCGTTTTGTGTACACAAGCATTCATTAATGGTTCGGAAAGTGGCACTGTACCTTAATAATATAAAGGCTTGTATTTGCGTGCATTTCCTGCTCGGAAAGTGGCAATGTACTGAGAGTGGAGGTGGGTGTCCTGAGATTAGCGCCTGCAGGCAGGCTCCATGGACCTGTCAGCTCCGGACAGCGCAAAATGCGTACATGAAGCGCTCCGTCATGAACGCAAGAAATCTACCCTACGTGGGGGCGCGCTCACGCTTAGAATTGAGGAGACATCTGATTGGCTATAGATAGAAAAAAATTACAAGTACGAATCGGGGTCCCCCGTCAAGGGAGTCTCAAAAAACCCACACACGAATGCACAGCGATCCATGCACAGAAAGCGGTTTGTGTTTGCAGGTGCAGAGGTTTTAAACGGAAAACAAATATGTGAGGATCAAAAATACATATGTAAAACTTTTTTCTGTATTTGGATTTTATTTACATGTATATGAAACGGAACACATTTGTGTGTGCATTGAAAAACACAAGTGTGGATCCGGAAATACAAGTGTGAATCCTTTTGCGGATCATGAAATACAAGTGTGAATCCTTCTGTGTGCATGTGTGTATTATGAGACTGTTTCTGAGCCCATAGTATTCCAAGTCCAAATACATCACTCTGCAGAGCACCTGTTGTCACTCTGCTAGCATTATGGATGAGAGATTAGCATGCTCCATGCATTAAGCAAAAACAACATCCACGTGTGCTTGTTTGTTCCTTCACTTCTAACACCTGTGCAACCCATCAAACCTCACCTGGGCTTTGCTGCTGGTGTTCTTGCTGCTGGTGTTCTTGCTGCTGGTGTTCTTGCTGTAGCTGACGGAGGCGTAGGAAACATCCTCTTCACGATCCGCCTACACAGGGAGGACAACATAATGGTTGCAAGTCAACATTTCAGTTTAGCAGCATCATTGTACTTCTCTTTTTCTCTGTGGCAAAGGGAAGTTGAACCCGTTTAGAGAAACACAATCAAACAGCGCTTCTCTTACCTGCTACATTTAGGAGAACAAATATAGATTGTAGTGGGTGTAACTCTGCGATGGGTGTGGTGGAAAATCTCACCGTGTTTCTGGACCTGCTGAGTCACTGCGGGGTTATGGCCCTGTTCCTGCACAAATACACTCTAGTTAAAGTTTGACATTCATATCAATTGGATACTTATTATGTGTGCCTTGCTGTTAATGCATATCCACGTGCTCTGCTTCTTGAGCTAATTTCTAAGTTTGATTGTAGACTGTTTGGCATGGTCAGGTAGTGCCAATGCAACACGATGAGTACTGTTTATTTTAGAACCACAGTCACTTTAGTAATAGGAAGAACAACAACAAACAAGGGTTAAAACTCACGATCCTGTCATCCACACGTGGTCGGTCCCCTGAAAAGTCAAAAGAGTCAACTTTAGTTTCCACAGTAAAAATTCTGGTTTATCAAAGTCGTATTGTAACATTTCATTAGTGAATGCTCTCACCTTTAGTTTTCTTCCATCTGATGACCGCCACAATGACTATTAAGAGCGCTGCTAAACCCACAGCCGCAACGATGTACACCACCACATCTCAACTGGAAGGAGAATAAAACGTTAGGTATATATTCAGCTGCAGTCTTAAAACATACTTTGCAAAATGAATCAGTTTCTGTTAATACAAATCTTTAGTTAGCACATCCATCATGTATTCATTGACTGAGTCTTCATTTGAATGTCTTTCAAAAAGCATTACGTTGTTAAAGAGGAAACTTTCTGCACATTTTCAGGTGTATATCAGTATGTAGTGTCTCTACTTTAAAGAGTCCTCTCCTGCTGATGTTCAGGTGTTATCAGTATGTAGTGTCTCTACTTTAAAGAGTCCTTCTCCTGCTGATGTTCAGGTGTATATCAGTATTTAGTTGTCTCTACTTTAAAGAGTCCTCTCCTGCTGATGTTCAGGTGTATATCAGTATGTAGTGTCTCTACTTTAAAGAGTCCTCTCCTGCTGATGTTCAGGTGTATATCAGTATGTAGTGTCTCTACTTTAAAGAGTCCTCTCCTGCTGATGTTCTAGGTGTATATCAGTATGTAGTGTCTCTACTTTAAAGAGTCCTCTCCTGCTGATGTTCAGGTGTATATCAGTATGTAGTGTCTCTACTTTAAAGAGTCCTCTCCTGATGATGTTCAGGTGTATATCAGTATGTAGTGTATCTACTTTAAAGAGTCCTCTCCTGCTGATGTTCAGGTGTATATCAGTATGTAGTGTCTCTACTTTAAAGAGTCCTCTCCTGCTGATGTTCAGGTGTATATCAGTATGTAGTGTCTCTACTTTAAAGAGTCCTCTCCTGCTGATGATCAGGTGTATATCAGTATGTAGTGTCTCTACTTTAAAGAGTCCTCTCCTGCTGATGTTCAGGTGTATATCAGTATGTAGTGTATCTACTTTAAAGAGTCCTCTCCTGATGATGTTCAGGTGTATATCAGTATGTAGTGTCTCTACTTTAAAGAGTCCTCTCCTGCTGATGTTCAGGTGTATATCAGTATGTAGTGTCTCTACTTTAAAGAGTCCTCTCCTGCTGATGTTCAGGTGTATATCAGTATTTAGTGTCTCTACTTTAAAGAGTCCTCTCCTGCTGATGTTCAGGTGTATATCAGTATGTAGTGTCTCTACTTTAAAGAGTCCTCTCCATGCTGATGTTCAGGTGTATATCATTATGTAGTGTCTCTACTTTAAAGAGTCTCTCCTGCTGATGTTCAGGTGTATATCAGTATGTAGTGTCTCTACTTTAAAGAGTCCTCTCCTGCTGACTGTTCAGGTGTATATCAGTATGTAGTTCTCTACTTTAAAGAGTCCTCTCCTGGCTGATGTTCAGGTGTATATCAGTATGTAGTGTTCTACTTTAAAGAGTCCTCTCCTGCTGATGTTCAGGTGTATATCAGTATGTAGTGTCTCTACTTTAAAGAGTCCTCTCTGCTGATGTTCAGGTGTATATCAGTACTGTAGTGTCCTCTACTTTAAAGAGTCCTCTCCTGCTGATGTTCAGGTGTATATCAGTATGTAGTTGTCTCTACTTTAAAGAGTCCTCTCTGCTGATGTTCAGGTGTGTATATCAGTATGTAGTGTCTCTACTTTAAAGAGTCCTCTCCTGCTGATGTTCAGGTGTATATCAGTATGTAGTGTCTCTACTTTAAAGAGTCCTCTCCTGCTGATGTTCAGGTGTATATCAGTATTTAGTGTCTCTCTACTTTTATAACGATTCCTCTCCTGCTGATGTTCAGGTGTATATCAGTATGTAGTGTCTCTACTTAAAGAGTCCTCTCCTGCTGATGTTCAGGTGTATATCAGTATGTAGTGTCTCTACTTTAAAGAGTCCTCTCCGCTGATGTTTCAGGTGTATATCAGTATGTAGTGTCTCTATCTTTAAAGAGTCCTCTTCCTGCTGATGTTCAGGTGTATATCAGTATGTATGTCTCTACTTTAAAGAGTCCTCTCCTGCTGATGTTCAGGTGTATATCAGTATGTAGGTCTCTACTTTAAAGAGTCCTCTCCTGCTGATGTCAGGTGTATATCAGTATGTAGTGTCTCTACTTTAAAGAGTCCTTCTCCTGCTGATGTTCAGGTGTATATCAGTATGTAGTGTCTCTACTTTAAAGAGTCCTCTCCTGCTGATGTTCAGGTGTAATCAGTATGTAGTGTCTCTACTTAAAGAGTCCTCTCATGCTGATGTTCGAGGTGTATATCAGTATGTAGTGTCTCTATCTTTAAAGAGTCCTCTCCTGGCTGATGTTCAGGTGTATATCAGTATGTAGTGCTCTACTTAAAGAGTCCTCTCCTGTGATGTCAGGTGTATCTCAGTAGTAGTGTCTCTACTTTAAGAGTCCCTCTCCTGCTGATGTTCAGGTGTATATCAGTATTGTAGTGTCTCTCCTGGGACATGTCTCCATGCTATAATGTTCAAAAAGCTCTTTTTCTCATACTGCCTGTGCTGCAGCACCTCTTTTCACCCTCTTGTCTGAAACCAGAGCCCAGTCTGCTCTGATTGGTGTGTGTGTGTGTGTGTGGTGTGTGTGTGTGTGTGTGTGTGTGTGTGTGTGTGTGTGTGTGTGTGTGTGTGTGTGTGTGTGTGTGTGTGTGTGAGAGAGAGAGAGAGAGAGAGAGAGAGAGAAAGAGAGCGGTAGAGCTTCTACCTTTCTTTTCTCCCTCTTGATCTTTTCTCCCTCTTGGTATCCCTCCTTTTGGTGAGGATTTCAATTAAATAACAAAACACAACAGGATACAAACAAACTTAATATCAGAAGACAACAAATGAGACGGTAATAAAATAATAAAGTCAAATGTACCCCCGTTTTCTGACACGAGGACTGGGGTCCAGCATCACCACAGCAGAGTTTCTCCAGTCTTAGTAACTGTCCACGTTACACTTCAGCGACTTTTTGATTAAGATGCAAAGAAAATGTCACTATGGATGAACAGGGAGCTGGTCCTTATCTCCACGCCACTCTGATAGCCCTCGTACACCCACTTCACTGTGTGCTGACACTCATTGTATTTCCACACAGCGCAGAACAAGGGTGACATAATCATTGTCCTTATTCTCAGTCACTGAAGGTGGAGATAATGTGAGAGAAAGACAACTAGGAGTATAATAACTTTACCACTGTAATTATAATTATTGTTATAGTATATTGACAGTAAGAGAGGAAAACATTATGATGTTATACTCACTGTCAATAACAGACAGAAGAACCTGAAAGTCTGGACCTTGTTGTTTTCCTCCTGATTTTGGGAAACTGTCTGCAGGTGTAACGACCACGATCCTCCTCTGTGACCTTCTTTATAAGCAGAGAACATTCTTCTGTAACACTCAGTCTGTCTGCTTCAGCTTTGTTAATCCCATCTGTACTTATCTTCCCAAGATGAATCAGCTCTATTGTTGTTCCCCCTTCATAACGATTGTAGATCCAGGTAGTACTGTTACATTTGTGCTGAGTTAAAGTTTCTTTAGGTCATGTATGTGTTCTTCATCCTTACCTGTAAACTGAAGCAGCAGTATCACCACTAAAGTCGTATTAATCCGTCTCAATTCAACCATCGTGTCTCTGCGTCTCTGTCTCTCGCTCTCACGCCCTCAACTGACGTCTCTGAACTAATGACTTCTGTAGAAGAGAGAAAGATGCACTTCCTGTTTTAAATAAAATGTCACTTCCTTTTTGTGAGTCCTTTTTTAAAATCACTCTTTTAATGGATGAATTGGTCAAAAGCAGATCAGCTTTTTATCTCTCTGAATGTTCAATGCTCAAACAACAGATGTGGTTCAGAGTGGATATAAAAGACACATTTAACAACATTAGCTCTAGGGTCAAAATGATAATAATCCCACAGAAGGAATATTTATAGTATAATCTGAGACCTGAGTGTTTACTCGCCACCACCCACCCTAACCACATGACATTCCTGTGTATCGTGGTGTTTCAGAGTCTCATACTTCCGTCTATAATCACAACCTGTATTCACACAGTGCTTTTGAAATGCTATTCCACATTTCCAAAACTTTCTGGGGATAGTATTTGCAAATTAAGAACTAATTCTCAATGCAATGGGAAATTGAAGAGACAACAAGGAGCAAAGTGAATAAAAATGCACAGAAAATATTAACGTTACTACAAACTTGCCTTCTGACTAACTTTGCTGTATGAAACCTTCAGACACACTGATATATCCTGATAAGGAGATTTTGTTTTTTAGTATCAATTAATTCAATGTTTTTCTGCATGTCATTCGTGGCAATCATGATGTCCTAAATATACAAGAGTACTTTTCGTTTTAAGGAAGTTAGTTGCAACTACATTTGACAAATTGAGGCTTAAAAATATGAGATAATCTTCAGTGTGGTTAGCTATGAATCTTCCAAAACGTTCAAATACCTTGTCCTGGACATAGTTTCTACAGTATAAACTGTGCAACAGTACAGTAGGCCCACACAAACTGCAGAACACTGGTGCTTTGGGAACACTCAAATGATTTAATTCCCATTTAAAATCAGGAGACTAAATATGAACATTATATGTGTGTGTGTGTGTGTGTGCGTGTGTGTGTGTGTGTGGTGTGTGTGTGTGTGTGTGTGTGTGTGTGTGTGTGTGTGTGTGTGTGAGAGAGAGATGGAGATCTTTAGGTTTAAGGAAGGCAGAGGATGCCCTCAACAGGCCAGTTAGAGAACTACAACATCTGGAGGAAAAGAAGGAAATAAATTAAATAAACAAATCGGGTTGGTCCGGTCCAAGGTCTTTAACCAACAATTTCTCTCCCAAACTTCTCCTTTCAAAAGGATTTGATAGTAGTGCTTGGACGGAATTGGGTGGGGACCGAGGTCCGGAGTCTCCACCTGCACACGCAGCCATCCTCATCAACTACTGTAGCGTCACCTTGGATACGATCCAAACAACTCACAGACTGCATCGGGCGCTGAAATTGGCGCCCTATGACCATCAGATCTGACGACACTGATTGGCTGAAATTATGTTTCGGCGGCATAGTTTACAGATAGCAACAGTCAGCAATGTGTTGGCTGCTGCTGCTCTGGCTGAGGGCTCCTTTCTTAGTGCCCAGACGAGAGAGGGGTTGCGGTCGAATAGTCCAAAAATCAGCGCCTAAATTCTAACCCTATCGTCTATTCCTTGACCTCTGAGTGAAACGTCATGGGGTTAAGGGATAGTGGATAGGAGAATTCAAAAGGATTTAGGAGAAGAGACTGCGGCACTTTAGAGAATCCGACTGCACTTTCACTATCCGACGTGTTTATGATGCGCCAGCAGAGGTCATAAATGTGCGCCTGCTGCTGTGGGGAAACTATGGAAACTACAGTTTTCTATACAGCGGACTACAACATGGATGTTTAATAAGAACGAGGGACTACTGTAAACTCATCTAGAGACTCTGCACCGTGCTCTGATGCTGTTGTTTTATGCTTTATGAACGGGGACAACAGAGAAACATATTCTTCATGACCAAAGTTGGAATTGAAATAAAAAAGGAAAGTGAAACTTATGCTCGTCACCCTCTCCCTCCGGTCCACATTAATACAAATGATCCCAATACGTATGACTGTATGAAAAGATCTTAAAATCAATACAAATGTATTTATTATAAACGTTAGTCCTTAACATCTATCACTGTGTATATCACCATTCAAACATCTTTTAAAAGTTGAACAACCCCCACACAGCTCAGTAAAGACTGTGAAATGTTGACTTTATTTGATCATTTCAGTAAAAACTAACGTTCATATTTCTCTTTTTGATTATAATACTGATGAACGTTCAAAACAAAGCACTTTGGCAACTTACCACATACGTTTTAAAATGCTTAATAAGCACTGTAACTTTCATGATATCATTTCTCGTTCATAATCGGTTGTTTCCCGTGAACGGCCGACTGATTGTGTGATGGCAAATACGGCGGCCGCAAGGCATTGTGGGGCAGCATTTTCTCCTCTCCTTTCGGTTAGGGAGGTCCAGTGGTTCCTAAGCTAAAGGAGGTTATAAAGGAAGTTTGAAACCTCCTTTCCTTTCATTTAGAGAATTCGAACGGCACTTATCATGGCTGCCACTGAGGGACTTCCGGGTCATTTCACTCCGTTAGGAAGGTTCCTAAGCTAAATGGACTATTCGACCGCAACCCATGGTAATGATACACGCTGCGGCCAGGCAGGAAACATGTGACTTATCAGTAACTTTAGACATCGTAACACAATTTTAAACGAGATTTTATTGTAGATTATACATTTTACTGATACCAACTATATAATATTTACCTTGTTCATTACAAATACAAATTATATATATTTTTTTAATATATTTTTTAATTTGAATGACAATCAAACATGTGGGAAGAGGGGGGGGCGGCGCCCCTAGCGCCCCTATGGGCCGGCCGCCACTGCAGACATCTCTTTTCCAATGTAAGTCAATGGGAAAAGGATGTTGGGCCCAATGATGTCACAGACTGATTACCAAAATATTACCAACACATCAGCTTCCCGACGCGCGGGGATAACATACTGGACCATGTTTATTCCCCTTTCCGGAATGGATATAAGGCTCTCCCTCGCCCTCCCTTCGGCAAATCAGACCATATCTCACTACTGTTGTTGCCTTCGTACAAGCAGAAACTTAAAAGGGACAGACCGATTACAAGAACAGTACAACGATGGAGGCGAGGAGTCAGATGAGGCACTGCAGGATTGCTTTGCATCCACGGATTGGAGTGTGTTTGAGGACAATAACATCAACACACACACGGACACTGTCATCTGCTACATTGGGAAATGCATCGATGACGTGGTACCGAAGGTTTCTGTACGGACATTCCCAAATCAAAAGCCCTGGATAACCTGCGATGTGCGCAGCAAACTGAAAGCGCGCACTATCGCGCACACAGCGGGAGATTTGGAGGAGTACAGGAAGTCTAGGTATGATCTCCGGAGAGCAATTAAAAATGCAAAGAGACAGTACAAAGAAAAGGTGGAATCTGACTTCAAAGGCTGTAACACTAGGAATATGTGGGCGGGACTAAGGACAATGACTGACTACAAAGGAGCAGCGGGGGGTGCTGCGGGAGTGTCTGCGTGCGCATCTCTCCCAGATGAGCTGAACAGTTTTTTTTGCACGCTTTGAGAGCAGCCGGGCTGTGGAGGTACAGAGGGACCAGGAGCTACACTGCCCTTTTGTTTTAAATAGGGCAGATGTGTGTACATCCTTTAAAAGGGTTAACCCACACAAGGCTCCTGGACCTGATGGCATCCCTGGCCGTGTTCTCAGGGTGTGTGCAGTTCAGCTGGCAGAGGTGTTCACAGACATCTTCAACAGGTCCCTGTTGCAGTCTGTAGTCCCCACATGTCTTAAACACTCCACCATCATTCCTGTCCCCAAAAAGACAATCATCACCTGCCCCAACGACTACCGCCCAGTAGCACTCACCTCCACCGTAATGAAGTGCTTTGAGCGGTTAGTCAAATCATTCATCACCTCCTCCCTCCCTGACTCTCTGGACCCCCTGCAGTTTGCCTACAGAGCAAACAGGTCCACTGACGACGCCATAGCCCTCACCCTCCACACTGCCCTCTCACACCTGGACCCGAAGAACAGGAACACATATGTGAGAATGCTGTTCATTGACTACAGTTCAGCATTCAATACCATTGTGCCCTCCAAGCTGGCCATCAAGCTCAGAGACCTCGGACTCAACAGCGCCCTCTGCGACTGGATCCTGAACTTCCTGACGGGCAGACCCCAGGCAGTGCAGGTGGGAAACATCACATCCTCCACCTTGATTCTCAACACCGGTGCCCCTCAAGGCTGCATGCTCAGCCCTCTCCTCTACTCCCTGTTCACCCACGACTGCGTGGCCACACACAGCTCCAACACCATCGTGAAGTTTGCTGATGACACGACCGTCATCGGCCAGATCACAGAGGATGACGAGACGGCGTACAGAGAGGAGGTCGAAAACCCGACATCTTGGTGCCAGGAGAACAACCTCCATCTCAACATCAGCAAAACAAAGGAGCTGATTGTGGATTACAGGAAGCAGCAGGGAGAGGGACACGCCCCCATCGCCATCAATGGGACTACGGTGGAGAGAGTCAAAGCTTCAGGTTCCTTGGGGTCCACATCACTGAGGACCTGACATGGTCTCTTCACACCACCACCATCACCAAGAAAGCTCGACAGCGGCTCTTCTTCCTCCGCAGGTTGAGGAGGTTCAAAATGGATTCCAGGATACTCTGCAACTTCTACAGGTGCACTGATAGAGAGTATCCTGACTGGCAGCATGACGGCCTGGTACGGCAGCTGCACCGACCTCGATCGTAAGGCTTTACAGAGGGTGGTGAAAACTTGCACAGAACATCACCAGGACGGAGCTGCCATCCATGGAGGACCTTTACTCCCAGCGGCTCAGGAAGAAATCACTACGGATTATCAAAGACCCCCCATCACCCCAGCCACAAACTGTTCTTTCTGTTGCCGTCTGGCAGACGTTACCGCAGCATCCTGGCAAGGACAAGAAGATTCGGAGACAGTTTCTTCCCGCGGGCAGTGAGACTGTTAAAAAATTGAACTGTTGAAACAACATCAAACATTCATCTGCTACTCAGTAGTATGTATCTAATACCTAATATATATATATCATTCCAATAACTTGTATATAGACTCTATTGCACTATTCCACATCATAACTTTATTTCATTTTATAACTATTATTATTTTTGTATTGCTCATGCTCTTATTGTTATTATGTTATTATGTTGCATTGTTGGAGAAGCCTGTGACATAAGGTTTTCAACTACATAATTACTCTGTAACTATGTCAGATTGACAATAAAGAACCTTGAACCTTGAGACTGACACAGAAGTTGTAGTACCACCTTTTGGCCATTACCAAACATTTGTTTCAACGTCCGTCACACTTCCTGGGGTCTTGCTATGCTCATGCGGATGATTTAATTTAGGTCATAGTTCATGATATTACCAATGTTTCTGACATGTTGACTTTTGAAAGAAAGGGATTTGGGACATCTGAATAATATAGTGGGAGATTTTACAAAGCTTGTGTGAGCTTGGGGTGTAGTGGTATGTTGTAGACAAGCACACAATCAATCACAATATTGAATATTCTATGTGGTTGGCTTTGTGAGCATATCCTCTTTTAAACTCTGAACGTCTCTTTTGTCAGAGTGTAGTCGTATTAAAACTTATGGAATAGATATTAATAATAATAATAATAATTTCAATTTTTTATAGCGCCTTTCTAGGAACCCAAGGACGCTTTACAATGGGAGATAAAATAACAAAACAACCAAATAATAATAATCACACAGATACAGGTTGAAAAAAACAGGTTGCTGGGTACTGCATTTTAGCTGGGGTCGAAGGCCTGAGTGAACAGATGGTGTTTGAGTTTTTGTTTGAAAGGGTCCAGAGAGTCGGCCTTCCTGATAGCAGAGGAGAGAGAATTCCAGAGGGTGGGGGCTGCGACACTGAAGGCTCTGTCGACAAGTATTTCAGCTTGGATGGAGAGCAGCCCTGTGTCGGAGGACCGCAGCTGACGAGAGGGGGTTTAGGGCTGGAGGAGGTCAGAGATGTATGCAGGGGCTAGGGAGTGGAGAGATTTGTAGGTTAGCAGGAGGAGTTTGTACTGGATGCGTGACTTGACCGGGAGCCAGTGAAGGTGGATGAGGGTGGGGGTGACGTGTGCGGGTGAGGAGCCTGGCTGCAGAGTTCTGGACGCCTGTCCAGGGCTTTGCTGGTGACCCTGAACAGAACTCCGTTGCAATAGTCCAGGCGAGAGGAGATGAAGGTATGTATTATTATTAATTGTTTCAAACTAACACATTTTTGCAATTGTCACTAGTGGCTTTAGGCTTATTTTGTTACTAAGCACACACTGCTGTTTTTAAATTAAGGTCAAAGTTCACAACCTTACCATGTTTATGACTTGTCTGTATGAAGAATTTAGGACACCTGAATAATGAAAGTGAGAGACATTACAAAACTGAGCTCTTGGGAGCATGTTCAAGGTTCAAGGCTTTTAATAGTCATACGTACATAGCTACAGTGTAGTCATGACGATGAAAATATTAAGTCACAGGCTCCAACAGAGCAACACAATAAAACAGAAAAACAGAACAAATAGTGCAAGTAAATACAAAAATAGAAATGGTGAAATAGTGAAATAGTGCAATAAGAGTCTATATACAAAGTACATGTAAAGTTTGAAAACAAGAGTTTCCCGAAACGACCTTTGGGGAACTCCACATCCTTTGTCCGTGCATCCTTTTGGTACCATTGAAATATTCTCTATCTCTAACCTGATTTGAAGCAAACTGGGAATGTGTCTGAAATGTGAACAAGAAACTTCTCTGGATTCTGTTACACAGAAATAATTAGAGTCCGGTTTGGTGTGGGACAGTAACAACAGTAACATCAACAAAGAGCTGTGTGAAATTCTGCATCCTGAATAATTCAGTTTTGCAGAATTTAAGAAATATCTAATGCAATAAAGAAATAACCTTCCACATTGCATGAGTGAGTATTAGGAACTTTCATTTACAGATTATATAATTCTCAGTTATAATATAGAATTAGTTTAGGCTGGAAGCTCATTCAAATCCTAACAGTAACATGTACAAAAACAAATTGATCTAATAACAAACATGTTTATAGCAATGCAATAAATGAAAAGCTATTCTTTTTTGTGCACAAAGAGATTTAACATAACAATAATGTAATTGTTAAAATGTCTAAGTAGAACACTATGTATAGTTACATTTGACAACAACAAAGAAAAACATTCAGGATAATGTTACACGTTTTTGGCATTTTGATAAAACTATACTCAGTAATAATGAAGAGACTCTATTGAAGCTGAAAGCTCATTGAAACCTGTGTGTGTGTGTGTGTGTGTGTGTGTGTGTGTGTGTGTGTGTGTGTGTGTGTGTGTGTGTCTAAAGCTTAACCTGGAAAAAGAAAGGAATAAAAACGTATTATATTAACTGTTTTGAATGTGAGCTTTAAACTGACGTTTTTCAACATTTAAGGAACTACTCTCGATTACATCACAAGTTTTGGGCAATCTTTTTTCATAGATTATTTAACTATTACTTATCGTTAAAAGACTTAAAGTCAATTTAAACCCAGACAAAGAAAAGTGAATAAAACGTTTAAAACTTGAAAAAAACGTCATTTTTTCTTTATAAAGTTGAAGCCAATTTAGACTTACTTTTTACAACAAATAGGAAACTACCTAATATTATGTTACTCGTTTTTTTAACTTTTCTTTATGAGTTTGTTTTGATGTTGAGCTTGTTGATCAGTGGAGTCTGATGGAAGCAGAAGGTTCTCCAACGTTTTCATAGGTCACTACACCTTCATCTTCATCATTATGCACCTGTACAAATAAACACAACACACTTGAGAAACTGATATCAAATGGAAGAAGTGAATCACCTCTTTTGCAGCAATCACTAACATAATAAATAATACAATTAGTACTGTTTCATTCTTATTGTAAAGACTGAAATACTAATAACACAAGCGTTGATTATTCAGAAACTCACTGCATTATCATCCGTCTGTGCTTTGTTCCCTGAAAAGACAAGAAAGAGTAAACTTCAGTTTCAAGTCTCAATCCGGCTTTATCTAATATTATTTAAATAAAATGACTTCAGTGAATGTTCTCACCTTTAGCTCTCGTCCATATCGTGACCGTCACCACAATTATTATGAGCGATGCTAAACCGACAGACACGATGATGAGCCTCAACCAATCTGGAACTGAGAGAAAAAACATTTAAAATATTTCGGCTGCAGCTTACTAGACCATTTCAAATCCTGCGCCTCAAAGAATTCACATGTTTTCTTAATATTTATTTGGTCTGACATTTATAATGTAGGCTGCAGAAGGAGTCAGAGAGATGGATGTTAGTCACTACCTTGTCCTTGGGGACCATTACAGAGATATACAAACACATTTAAGTTTAACATCTGACGAAACTTAATGAGACATAATTATGTAATCCTTAAACTTAAAATCATCAAATAAAATCAAATATACCCCGTTTTCCGTTAGAATTCAACAAATCATATTTTTTCGATGTGTAAATAAAATGTGAAGTCTTAAGGGTCGCGCTGGCAGAGGAGGAAGTAACTTAAACATCTCAACATGTTCTCACCTGAGGACTGAGGGCTGAAGAGAAACACCTGTACGTCTCTTGTGTTCTTATCAGTTACTTCACAAGTAAACAACTCAGACCTTGTTGTGTAACTAAAAAGAGAAGTCGGAAATGTCACAGAGGCAGAGCAGAGAGACTGTGATGTCGTCATATCTCTGTGATCTTTATCCACATCTTGACCCTGAAGCAGCCACTTCACTGTGAGTTCACACCGTTCATATGTCTTCACAGAGCAGAGTAACGTCACCTCATCATTGTCCTGATGCTCAGTCACTGAAGATGGAGATAAACAACAAGAGTCAAATTAACTTAATCACTGTAATAATAATTATTGTAATGTTTTAGAGTATTGTTCAATAGAGACAGTTTGAAAACACTATGATGTAAATACTCACTGTTAACAACAGACAGATAAACAGGAGAGTCTTGATATGTTTGTTGTTCTCCTGATCTGAACTGTCTGCAGGTGTATTGACTAGCATCCTCCTCTGTGACCTTCTTTATACCCAGAGAACATGTATCCGTAACACTCAGTCTGTCTGCTTTAGCTTTGGCATCTTTGTGAATCAGTCCACCTTCAGCCAGCAGTGCTGTTGGTTCTTTTAAATGATTAAAGAGCCATGTAGTTCCCTCACAGTTCCCCATTGCATTGTTACAAGGCAAAGTGACTTCAACTCCTTCTTTGACAATGAAACGCTGTTTGGTTGCTACCCCTGAGAAGACAAAGACAGAGAAATAACTTTAAATAAATATGGAAAGTGGACTGCAGTTAAAAAGGGCTTTTCTGTAGCGAGCACTTAAAGTATTTTACAACACATTCACACGAGACAAGAATACAAGGAGGTCCAATATCTTTCCCTTAATTCTCCGAGCCACATTTTCCCAATAACAGGTCATTATAAAGATATTGTGAGTATGGTTTTTTAGCAAATAGATGATGGTGCTTAAAAGGGTCCAATAAAATCACTATGGTCAAAATAAACAAACTTAGCTGTCTGAGTTAAATGAAGGTTAGATAATGAATGATATAAGTAGCATTGTTAAAATAAAGTGTGTGATGTCACCTATCTATACATATTATAAACATCCTTACCTGTAATCTGAAGCAGTAAAAACATCATTTGAATCCATCTGATTTCAGCCATCGTGATTCTCGGTCTCTCTTGCTCGCACTTTCTCAACTGTGAACGCCGGCTTGAGAAATACATCTACTTCCTATTAGGTGTGAACTTCCTCATGAGGACACTCTTCTCTCCATATGAGGAGGTATTTCATATTTATGATGGCGTATAACTAAAGCAATTTGTGCTCCGAGCTTAAAAAGTGAAATAAAACTACATTTCTGTCTGTAAATAATACATAATTAGTATTATTGTTAATAGCTAGTACGAGACATTTTCTGTATAAGTTATTTTCATTGATTTCATTTTTAAATGTTATATTTATTGTTACAGTATGTTGTATTTCTGATAGTAATAATATTTATAAATATTGGTATACTATTGTTAATAGCAATGAGTATTACAAAACTTTATATTTCAAGTTATTTCTGTTTTATTTGGAAAGAAAATTGACAAGAATACAAACAAAAAAAAGCAGAAACCCTGAAAGGTAACACTAGATCAATAAATTGACTGACATCAAGTCAACAAAGGAGCATATCATATATATTATACACATTTTCTTATAGAGAGGCGAAGTCCCGCCCTTCTACCTCCGACCCATGGGACCTTATTTCGGAAAAATGATGTATTGAAGTCAATGGGGAGAGAAAACGTATCTTTTGATCCCGTTTGAATTGTGCCACGAATTACACATATGATGTTTGTCAATTTAAAAAATCATTTCCAAGTCAAAAAAGTCACAGTTTGTCGTAAAACTGTTGAAATATAAGACTATGAAAAATACGCAACTAGAAAGACTACAAATCCCAGAGTCCCGGTCCTGCATGCTGGCTCTTAGGAACCGACTAACTCCCCTTGTGTGTATGCACAGCTCTCAACATGCCCAGACTTGGAGTGATTTTCACCTCTTTGAATACTTTCCGCCTCATTCTGAAAGAAAGAAGTGAAATGTGCCAACGTGACGGCCGTCTTGGTGTGTGGTGCGAGACGGGAGATGTAGTTCATTGAGCGGTTTCACACAAAGAAAAGTGTTACTTCACATTTTAATTTTTTTGACCTATCTTTTAAATTGACGAACATCAAATGTGTAATTCGTGGCACAATTCAAACGGGATCGAAAGATAATCTTTCTCTCTCCATTGACTTCAATGCATAACTTTTCGGAAATAAGGTCCCATGGAGGTCCCCTGGAAAGGGAGGGTCTTCACCTCTCTATCAGAAAACAACACATAGCTGACTCCACATCTACTTTCTACACTCTGAAACAGCACCCCCTCCTGGGCAGAAAGGCTTCTTACAGCAATACATCCTGAAGATGTTCATACAAATAGATGTAACACAAAGATAAAGTGATTATATGTTAATTTAATAACCCAA